TAGGTACTCCTTTGTTTGTTTGTTTATTTATTTATTTAAAAAGATGTATTTATTTATTTATTTATGATAGACATAGAGAGAGAGAGAGAGGCAGAGACACAGGAGGAGGGAGAAGCAGGCTCCATGCCAGGAGCCCAACGCGGGACTCGATCCCAGGGCTCCAGGATCGCGCCCTGGGCCAAAGGCAGGTGCCAAACTGCTGAGCCACCCAGGGATCCCCTACTCCTTTGTTTAAAGAATGAAAAAGTAATCACTTTTTTGGAAGACATATGTGCTATACCACATTTTGAGAATGGATGTTTGCAAATGTTTACATTGATATGAAAATACATGATTTTCTGTATCTTTGTGAGGTATCTTTTTCCATTATGATCCCCATTAAAAAGAAGTACTAAGGTAAACTAAATTTAGGACAAGAACTGTAAATCTCTGTATCACAGTTTTTTTAAAGATTTAATTTATTTATTCATGAGAGACACAGAGAGGGAGGCAGAGACACAGGCAGAGGGAGAAGCAGGCTCCCTGTGGGTAGCCTGATGTGGGAATTGATCCCAGGATCCCAGGATCCCAGGATCATGACCTGAGCCAAAGGCAGATGCTCAAACACTGAGCCACCCAGGTACCCCTGTATCACATAGCGTTAAGCCAAGATTACTCTAATTATGGTATTACTAATATTTTCATTGAAAGGGAGATTATTTACATTAATAATTTATATTGTTAGCTTATTTTGATTTTATGAGTGTCCTATAATATACATCAATAGAAGAATCCTGCATATGCATAATTTATACAAAATACATATCTTTAAAATGGGGATATATGCTCAAAATTCTTTTCTGAGAGGTTGCTATTTAGAGGAGGAGACGCTTGGATAGGATTAGATCCAGGCACATATTTTAGGGTTTTGTTACATAACATTCTACTTCCAGAACCAATTTCTGTGGCTTATCTATTCCTTTGTAACAAACTACTATCTAGTTTAACAAAGTATGTCAGAATTTAGTGACTTAAAAACAATAACCATTTTGTTGACTTGGAATTCTGCAGTCAGGAATTTGGGCAGGGCTTGGCTAGGTGGTTTTCTGTTTCACCTCGCAAGGGGTAGGAGCTGCATGGGGCTAGTGACAGGGCCAGGCTGGGAGATCCAAGAAGGCTTCACTCATGTGAAGGGCACCTCAGTCTTCTGTGTAGTTTTGCTAATATACGTGGTAAGTTTGGGCTTCCTCACAGCATGGTTGTCTCAAGGGATTTGGACTTCTCACCACTGTCTTTCGGGATAGTGCATTTGAGTAAAAACAAAACGTACAAAGACACTGCTTGGAGGTTATACAATACCAGTGACTCAGCATTCTGTTGCTCAGAGCTGCTCACAAGACCATGCCCGATTCAAGGGACAGGGAGATGGACCTCATTTTTCAATGGGAAGAGTGGCAAGTCCATTTTTAAATCTACCAGGCTTTTTTTGCACATCATTATTTTCTGAGACTCATCCATGTTGTTGCCTGTAGCAGGTATTTACTTTCTCATTACTGTATAAGATTCCATGGTGTGACTATCACAATTTGCTATTGATTCTCCTATTGATGGACATTTGGTTGGTTGTAATTTGTGGCTATTATAAATAAAGCTTAGTGAAAATATTTGTATGTATCTTTTAGTGAACATATGTACTAATTTCTCTTGGGTATATATATATATATCTAATGGTAGAGTTGCCAAGTCATAATTAGCATACAGTTAGCATTACTTCCAAACAACTTACCAAAATGTTTCTGCCAATTTATACTCCCATCAGCAATGTAGAAGAGACTAAGATTATCCATGTTTTTGCCAAACCTCAATATCATCTTTTTTTTTAAAGATTTATTTATTTATTCATGAGAAACAGAGAGAGAGAGAGAGAGAGAGGCAGAGACACAGGCAGAGGGAGAAGTAGGCTTCCTGCAGGGAGCCTGATAGGGGACTCCATCCTGGTACTCCAGGATCACGCCCTGAGTCAAAGGCAGATGCTCAATCTCTGAGCCACCCAGGCATCCCGACTTAAAACCAGGCAAACTGACTTTCATGCCAATGGAAACATTTGCAAATATCCATTCTCAAAATGTGGTATAGCACATATGTCTTCCAAAAAAGTGGTTACTTTTTCATGTCTTTTGATTAACTGAAGTTCTCAATTTTAATGAAGTCCAACTTAACAATCTTTTCATGGACAGTGCTTTTAGGATTGTGCTTTTCAGAAAATCTGTTCTATCTCAAGATATTTTCTGATTTTTTTCCTAGAAGCTTTATGGCTTTCCTTATTACATGTGGGGCTGTGATGCATTTCAAATTAGTTTTTGTATATGATGTGATGTAGAGGTCAATAATTTTCATATGATTGTCTAGTTGATCCAGAATTATTTATTGAAAAACTATACTTTCCCCACTGAATTTTAGTAGCACCTTTGTTGTAAATCAGGTTATCTAACATGTTTTGGGACTTTCAGTTTCTGGACTTTCTATTCTGTTCCATTTATCTTTGGGCCTTTTCTTGTACTACTGTTTGACTTATATATATTCTAATGTTAAATCAACTTTACGTTCCTAGAATAAACTTGGTTTTATTAACCTATTTATATATATTGTTCAATATAACACAGGACTTGCATTCAATTTGCTGATATTTTGTTTGAAATTTTTACATCTATGTTTCTGAAACAGAATGGACTTTAATTTTTACTTTTCTTCAAATATTCTTGCATGTTTTGATGTCAAGGTCATGCTGGCCTCATAAGATGTATTGGTAAATGTGCTAACTTTTCCCATTATCTGGAAGAGTCTGTTTTTGATGGGTACCATTTCTTTCTTAAACATTCGGTAGAATTTATCATCTTTTTTTTTTTTTTTAAAGACTTTATTTGTGAGAGACACAGAAAGAGAGGCAGAGACACAGGCAGAGGAAAAAGCCGGCTCCATGTGGGAAGCCTGATGTGGGATCTTTAACCTTATGAAACCGGGGTTTTCTTAGTGAGTTTTTTTTTATACATGGAATCTATTTTTTACATATAGAATTGCTCAGATTTTCTAGTTCTTCCATAGGCTTTTTGGTAACTTGTATTTTTCTAGGAATTTATCCATCTTATCAAAATTTCAAATTTATTGGCCTAGAGTTATTGGCCCTATTACAGAATTGAGTAATGGTTAGTGCTGGGTTCTGTGTTTGTCACTTATGTGGAACCGTGGGTATAGTAGCTGCTGGTGCAAAATAGCAGAGCTGGGTCCTTGTTAAGATTTAGGCTCACTTTTATTAGGCTTGAAGGGCTAAATGTATCTTTTTCTAATGTACACATTCTTCCTTTATATATGTTAATATGTTCAGTCAAATCTTGGCCCAGACTCCTGGGTCCCTTTAAAGGTTTATTATCTCTGTTCTAATTTTATTTTTGTTATCTCTTCTTGGGGTTACCCCAGTGTTGCTCCATCATATCACCTGTATATAGCTCAACTGTTCTTCAGAAATTTACCCATGAGGTGCCTGGGTGACTCAGTTGGTTAAGTGTCTGCATTTGGCTCAGGCTGTGCTCTCTGAGTCCCGGGATCTAGCCCATCTCTGAGTAGGCTCACTGCTCAGTGGGAAGTCTCCTTCTGCCCCCAGCCCCAATACTTTCTCACTCTGTCTGTCAAATGGATAAAAAAGAATCCTAAAAAAAACAAAAAACAAAAAACACATTCATGCTCACCAGCAGCATAAGGTGGAGTCCAGCTCACTGAGCGCTTGCTTCCACCACTGATCATTTCTACTACACATAAAAAATTGTGCCAATTGGACAAAAAAGGCCACCTGAGCCAGAGTTTTAAGAACTGCGTACTAAAGCTCGTCTGTTAAAACCCTCCTATAAGTCTTATAGGCTACGAAAACATTTTCTTCTAAAGGGCTGACTTTGCTCTTTTAAAACACTCAGTTTTCTGTGAAAAATGGCTGGAAAACTCTGCGACTCATTTCTGTGCAACCACAGTCCAAAGTCTTTTTTTTTTTTTTAAAGATTTTATTTATTTTTTCATGAGAGACACACACACACAGAGAGACAGAGGCAGAGACAGGGAGCAGCAGGCTCCATGCAGGGAGCCCGATGTGGCACTTGATCCCAGGACTCCAGGATCAGGCCCTGGGCCTAAAGTTCTGGAGGCTTAACCGCTGAGCCACCCAGGCACCCCCAGACCAAAGTCTTAAATCAAGGTATGTCATCTATTTAAACTATTTTGCATATACATGAACATCTTACAAAGTCATTCACCCAGTCAACAAATATTTATTGATTGCATCCTGTGAGCTAAGTCCTGTTCCAGGCCCTGGATATATAGCGATAAACAAAAAGACAAAGATTCCTGGTCTCATATTTTAGTTCAATGCCTTAACTCTTTAGTAGCGCATTCAGTACTGTCACTTCCTGTTCTAACATTTCAACATTTGAAATCAGGGCTGATCTAGAAAATAAAAGGCTGGGGGATCCCTGGGTGGCTCAGCGATTTAGTGCCTGGCTTTGGCCCAGGGCATGATCCTGGAGACTCGGATAGAGTCCCACCTTGGGCCCCCTGCAGGGAGCCTGCTTCTCCCTCTTCCTGTGTCTCTGCCTCTCTCTCTCTCTCATGAATAAATAAAATAAAATCTTTTTTTTTTTTTAAAAAAAAGAAAAGGCTTATGGTCAAGCTGTTTCTAGGACAATCCTTAATGCTGTAAAGATAGGTAAGGTTTTTCAGAAAGAGTCTCAAGTCGCATAGAGCCAAGCCTGGCAAATGACATGGGTGACACAACTGGACAGAACACTTGTCTAGTGCCATGATAAAATAATGTGACCGACTGTTGCACTGGACTGGATGGCTCTTGAAGGCAGGGACTCTGTCCTCTCATTTCCCAATAGCTGGCACAGCGCCTGGCGTAGAGTGGATGTTGAATAACTGTGAAATAAATAAACAGACAAGTAAATAAGGAGTGAGTGAATAAAGAGCCAGTGTCTTTTTTTATTTTTATTTTTTAAGATTTTATTTAATCCACGAGAGACACAGGCAGAGGGAGCAGCAGGCTCCGATCCCGGGTCTCCAGGGTCACGCCCTGGGCTGCAGGCAGATGCTCCACCGCTGAGCCACCCAGGCGCCGCGTAGAGCCAGTCTCTTGACGATCTCGAAAATCTCAGGACTTTAAATACCATCGAGGCAGCGAGCATTCCCAGTCCAGAGTCACCTGGGGCGCTCGGTTCCCTGATCGAGCTGTCCTCTCATCCTACCTGGGCCTCCTGCTTCCTCTTCTCCCCGATTCCCACGCTGTCCCCGCGGACCTGACCTTCTCTCCACCTCTGCCTCTGCCCCCGTCGGACTCTTCTCCCCTGGAGCGTCGGGCTGAAAGCAGGAGCCTGACGGTGTAGACTCCTCCCCCAGCTCCCAACCACCCGGGGCAGCCAGCAGCCGAGTCTCACGGCGGGGGAAACCGAGGCCCAGCGCGCCCACACGGGGCCTGCACGCGCCCCAGCTCCACGAGCGCGCGCCTCCCTCCCGGAGCCCACGCCGCTCCCGCGCCTGTGAAAGCCCGACGGGGCTGCGGCGTCCACGCCGGGACCCGGCGGGCTCCGCGGGAGGCGCGCGCGGCCTCCTCCCGACGTGGGCTGCAGGGCGGCCGCCGGGGCGGAGGAGAGCAGTCTGGGCGGGGGCTGCGGGGCGCGCGGGGTTTGCTCCCCGGAGCGCGCGGAGACGAACCCGCGGCCCCAGGCGCCCGGAACCCCAAGCCGCGGTCTGGGTTTCCGCCCGGCGGGCCCCTTCCGGCGCTCCCGGAAGCTGCGCTCGCTGCCCGGGTAACGGGCCCGGCCGGGGGGCGGCGGCGGCGGCGGCGGTACCACCGCTATGGACCTGGAGGAGGCGGTGAGCACCGGCGGGAGCGGGGCAGGCGGAAGGCTGCGGGGCGGGGGAAGCGCTGGCGCTGGCGGGGCGGGCGGGCGCGCGCTTCGGGGACAGAGGCCGGCCCGTCGGGCCCGGTGAGCGTGGGGGTGAGGGAGGGCGGGGCGGGCGTCCACGTGGGTGTGTTTCTGGAGCACGACGGAGTTGTGGGTTTTGTGGGGTGGCCACCCACGGGCCCATCCCCTCCGGGCCGGGCCACCCGCAAGTTTCCTTGGACGGCGGGGTGGGCGTGGGAGAGCCGGGTCCGACGGGCTGGCTCCTGAGTCCCCCCACCCCCAGCCACCCCGCAACTGTCCCTCGGCATCCCGCCACCGTCCCCCGCCACCGTCCGGTGATTCCAAACTGGGTTGTGGGCCCCTCCAGGGTCATGCTGGTGATCAGGACGCGGGCACCGCAGACTTCACCGGCCTGTTGAAATAAATTCGGGTTCGTTTTTGTTTTTTTTTTAAGATTTTATTTATTGATTGTGGTTGAAATAAATTCGGGCTCATTTTTTTAAAGATTTCATTCAGGGATCCCTGGGTGGCGCAGCGGTTTGGCGCCTGCCTTTGGCCCAGGGCGCGATCCTGGAGACCCGGGATCGAATCCCACATCGGGCTCCCGGTGCATGGAGCCTGCTTCTCCCTCTGCCTGTGTCTCTGCCTCTCTCTCTCTCTCTCTCTCTCTCTCTCTCTCTCTCTGTGACTATCATAAATAAATAAAAATAAAAAAAATAAAGAATTCATTCACTCATTCATTCATTCATTCATTCATTCATTCATTCATTCATGAGAGACTCACGGAGAGAGAGAGGCGGAGACACAGGCAGAGGGAGCAGCAGGCTCCCTGCAGGGAGGGGCCTGATGCGAGACTGGATCCCAGGACCCCCCCCCGCCCCGGGGTCACGCCCTGAGCCACCTACCCAGGTGCCCCTCCGCATTCGTTTTTGTGGTTGTTGTTGACACACTGCGCTAACCGCTGCGCTCTTGTGCTGCGGTGAAGGAGTATTCAGCAGTTAGATCAAGGATAAGGTCAAAGACCCTTCCTTTTAGGGTCTGCCTGTGCAGGTACAGAAGCGTTAGGGTGATAGAAGGCCTTAGTTGTTACAGATGCTCAATAAATGTTTGTTGGATGATGGATGGCTAACGTCTGTCCGTGCTGGGTTAATGAAATTAGTGATTGTATCTCACCACTAGCCCGTGTTTGCTGTGAGTAGAGATCACGTCTGTTTTGCTCACCGCTGAATCCCCGTCCCCTAGTTAAATGCCTCGTGCATACACAGGTGATACTCCTTATATTGCTGGATGAATAAATCGAAACTCGGAACAACCCCAATAAAAATCTGGTTCTTTTGCTATATGTGTTTCTAGTATCATTGAGAAAGTTCCAAATGGTTTGCAGTTTCTATTTGTAAAGTTTTGTCTTTACTTAAATCTTGTCCCCCCCTTTTTTTCCCCTCACAGCACTTTGCAGTTTTAGTGACTCATCCTTTTTTCCCATTTTACCCCTACCACCTTTTCTTCCTCTTTTAACCCCCCTCACACTGTGTTTTAGAAACTTTTTAAATCATTTAATACCTTCAAACTATTCAAAAGACTGAACTATTCTCTTTGTTTATAGTTAATCTCTCGGATACATTTTTCTTTCTTTCTCTTTGTTTATAGTTAATCTCTTGGATACATTTTCCTTCCTTCCTTCCTTCCTTCCTTCCTTCCTTCCTTCCTTCCTTCTTTCCTTTTTTTTTTCTTTTAATCTGTAGGTCAAAATTGCAGGGAACCCTTTAAGTAGAACTGCAGGGTTTAGGTGCAGTGTGTTGAATATGGCTTGATAGTAACAGCTTTTCTGTCTTCTATAGAAAGAGTTCAAGGAAAGATGTACTCAGTGTGCTGCTGTCTCCTGGGGTCTTACTGATGAAGGCAAATATTATTGCACTTCTTGCCACAATGTTACAGAAGTAAGTAGTATATATCATTTATGAGTCTGCTAATGTTTTAAAAATTGCAATTTTAGCATGATATGTAGCCTAGTTCCCAAATAATCTTTGTCACTCATGTACTGCCCAAATTCCAAGAACGTAAGTAGTCTTCAAGTGTTTACACGTGAGTTAAGGAATGAATAAATTAGATTTAGGATGGGTTTTTGAAAAGATGTTGGGCTGCATTTATAAATAATTTCATGATTCAGACTGTGTAATATAAGGGAAAATAATTAAAATTGTACTTATAAGGTGATGCATTTCTCTATTTGTTCATACTTATATAAGTTTATGTGTTGTGGTAGCTTAGAGGTTTGGAAGATGGAATGTTGTAAAGATTGAAGACTGTTGGGAATATTGGAAATATGCTTCATTATCATTTTATCTTTGTACAGTACTTTAGAGATTACAAAGTCTTTCCTTACTCATTATTTCATTTCCTCCTCATAAACACCTGTGAGATATAGTACCATGCCAATCCATGGATGGGGCAAGTAAGGCTCAGGAGTTGAATGAGATTGCCAAAGTCACACAAGTATAAAGTGTTGAGCCAGGATGTGAACCTGAGTCTTGTGACTACAGTGCTCATTTTACCCCATCACACCTGCCTCTTACACTAGAGATTGTCATACTGTCTGATATAACCTTGGTAAATGAGGCCCCCTTCACACTGGGAGTGAGTGTTAGGTCCTGTTCTAATCACCACACATTCAGGGCAATATAACCAAAATAATCAAGGGTGTGGAAAGTCAGCTATTGGACAGGTAAACATGCCAGGGCTCCACTTTGGAAAAAGATTTGCTCAAAGTCTCCAAAGCCAGGAAGGAACAAATATTACATTTACCACATAGACTTAAGAAAGGCAAATTTGAGACAGATAAAAGTAACTGTGTAGACTTCTGCTTTTGGCCAAGATGGAGTAGCAGGGACTAGATTTATCTTCCTACTTTAAACAACCGAAAACTTGGGCATAATATATAAAAAAACTAAAAAAAAAAAAAAAATTCCTTTGAGGAAAGTGCCTAATATACTTTGTTGCTTATACAGAGCTTTTCTTGAAACAATCATTGTTCTTCAGTATGCAGCTGAAGTTCTTGTGCCTGCTTCCATTTAAGTTACACAGAATATTAAAAAGATGCCAGCACAGTGAAATTTTGTGGATGGTGGATATTTCATTGATTATGGTGATGGTTTCGTAAAGATGTATATATATGTATGTATTTGTATAGATACATGAATATGCATACATATACACATTAACTCATATACTTCATTTATTTTAAAGATTTTATTTATTTATTTAAGAGAGAACATGGCTTGTGGGGGGGTGTGGAGAGGCAGAGGGAGAAATACTCTGCTGGTCAGGCAGCCCGATGTGGGACTCAATCCCAGGACCCTGGCACCATGACCTGAGCCGAAGGCAGACAGTTAACCGACTGAGCCACTCAGGTGCCCTTGCACTTTATTTATTTTTTAGATTTATTTATTTTCAAGAGAGAGGGAAAGAGTGTGTGGGAACACTAGTGGAGGAGGGACAGAGGGAGACTCTCGAGCAGACTCCTTACTCAGCATATTGGGGCCTTATCCCATGACGCTGAGGTCATGACTTGAGCCAAAACCAAGAGTCAGACGCTCAAGTGACTGAACCACCTAGGGGCCCCAATGCATACACTTTAAATATATGCAGTTTGATCCTCTTTGCTTTGATGCATGTAAGGCACTAGCAGTTTTACCCACGGTTGTTTTTGTAGCAGCAATGCAAATGTAAAGGTAGTGAAGGAAGATTGTGTCTAATTGGACTGTTTGCCATTAGTAGATGAAGTCAGCGTGCTATTTTTGTAGAAATTAAACTACGTTAACTAATTGCCTCTTTTATTTCTGTCTTTGATAATGTTCCTATTTGATCCTGAGTGATAAAATCTACTGCAGTCATTTTAACTTGAAAGATCTTAATACTACTGGACTACCTAGTTCCACATTTGAAAGAGAACCTGTGTAGAGTAACTTGTCAAGAAAGAAGCATTCTTTTCTTTTCTGTGAGATTTACTTATTTTAAAGAGAGGGAGAGAGTACAAGCAGGGGGAGGGGGCAGAGGGAGAGAATCTCCAGCAGACTCCTGGCTGAGCACAGCGCCCGATGTGGGGCTTGATCTCATGACCCCAAGATTGTTTGTTTCCTTGCTATTGAGTTTAATAAGTTCTTTATAGATCTTGGATACTAGCCCAAGACTTAATTATTTTATATTTTAGTTGTGAGAGAGGCAGAATCTTAGGCAGCAGCCCTTGAGAGCACTTGGAGTTGAAGACTATGGGATGAGTTATAGTCCCTATTCAGTCATTCTAAAATTGTATAGGTTTGGTTAAAAATAAAAAGTAGTACTTTTATAATTTCAGAAATGAAAACTATATTATTCAAATACATAGAAAAGCAGGATAAAATGAATCTGTATGTAACATAGGCATTGCTGGTTACAAAAAATACAGTTCTCTTAATTCCAGAGTGTGTTTGGATGGTGGAAAAGGGAAAAATTTTTATTTTAACTTCAGGTTTTATTTTAAAGTGATTTAAAATAAAAGAGTGAATAAATAAATGAATGAATGAATGAATGAATGAATGAGTATTCATTTACCAGACTTTTATTTAGTGTTTACTGTGTTCCAGGTACTGTTTTGAGTAGTGAAAAATTTTGAATGAAAAAGCAAAGTAAAGGTTAACCAGAATGTTACTGTCCTTGGTCCTGGCACTTGCAATTTGTTTCATTATGCTTCTAAGAGCGTGCTTGGAAATTTATTTAGGGAGATGTAAAACTACTTTTTTTTTTTTTTTTTGTAAAACTACTTTTTAATGGTTTGTTTGTTTCCTGCAGCGATCTAAGGAAGTTATAAACACTGGGGATATTCCTAATACTAAAATACAAGCCATCAACCGGGGACTTAAAAGAAAAAGAAAATTTGGTAAGCCCTTTCTTTATACATGCTTAGGGATATGAAATGGAATTTTATTTTTTAAAAATATTTATTTATTCATGAGACAACACAACACACACACACACACACAGAGGCAGAGACATAGGCAGAGGGAGAAGCAGGCTCCATGCAGGAAGCCCAATGTGGGACTCGATCCTGGGACTCCGGGATCACGCCCTGAGCCAAAGGCAGACATTCAACCGCTGAGCCACCAAGGTGTCCCGTAGAATTTTAAACAGATTATCAAGAAGTTGCCAAAGTTGTAAACAGGTCATCCAAAGTGGAATTAAAATAAAGTAATTGTTGATGGTAAAATTGGAAGTAAATGTCTTTAAGCATATCCTGTTTTTATCCTGATTATGGTTGTGAGTTGCTTTTCCAGTGGAGCAACTATTATGCAAAAAATGATAATGGAGTGTATTCCTTCTTATCTGTTGACATACGTTTCTCTGTTCTGTGTCATCTATTAAGAATATGGTTTTCTGTGCTTCTAAGAGAGATGCTTTCTAAAATGATTTGAGTATGGAATTGTCAAGTTAGACAAGTTCAACATGATGTTCAACTTTTAGAAATCCACTTCTCACATTGAATTTTGAATACACTCTATTAAAATAGGAAAATTATTTTCCTTAAAATAATCTCAACATGGGTGTGCTTTTTAAAGGTAATCGACTTCATTAATCCAGTGAGTACATAGAATAACCATTATAGAAAAGAATCTGAGGTAAAGTCTAACTGATGCTTTTTGTTTCTGTGACTATCTAGGGCCAGATTCTCCAGTATGGAACCAGGCTAATGAGGGTGGTGGATTCTTGTAGAGGAGATAGCTTTCAGTTTGCACACTTGCACACACATGAAACCTAGATATATAAGTGTTAGTGAAATATCTATGTGAAATACACTGGTATTCTTAATAGAATAGCAGAGAGAATGCCTGAATGCTTATTATTTCTGTTTAACCTTTTAATAGTGACTATTTTTATTAGGCTGGTTAATTTTTAATTAAATTTTATTAGAGTATAACTTGATTAATTTGTTTTTTTTTTTTGTTTTTTTTTTTTAAATTTATTTATTTATGATAGTCAGAGAGAGAGAAAGAGAGGCAGAGGGAGCAGGCTCCATGCACTGGGAGCCCGACGTGGGATTCGATCCCGGGTCTCCAGGATCGCGCCCTGAGCCAAAGGCAGGCGCCAAACCGCTGCGCCACCCAGGGATCCTTTTTTTTTTTTTTTTTTTTTTTTTTTTTAAATTTAACTTGATTAATTTGGATTTGACTTAATTAAAATGTATAGTTTCAACTTTAATTGCTGCAGGAAATTTAGATGCTTCAAATTAGCTATCAAGTGGCTTAGATTCAACTTACTTGACCCTGCATAGTTTCTTATCTTTTTTTTTTTTTTCATAGTTTCTTATCTTTAAAATGAGGATGGTAATACAATTTGTTATGTAAAACAAAAACTCAGAATTTAAAATACAACTTTACCAGTTTGTAAGAGTAGTGTTCTGGAAGAAGAGTACACAGATATACAGTTTGAGAAGTTTAAACTTCCTCACATTCAGAATGCATCAAAATTAGAGGCTTCCTCTTTCACTCATATACAACCCAAGAAATTGAGGTAGTCACAGGGTAGGGAAGAAGAGTCCTATGACACTGCAGTGGAGAGGGGATCTTGGAGTCCTAGTAATAGACTTCATAAGCTACGTGTTAAAGGTGTCAATAGCATGTTTTTCAAAGAGTTGTAACATTTATCCAGCAGGGAGGGGTACTACATTAGGGTCTTAACAGATTTTAATATTTTCTTTAACTTGTAGTTCTCTTTAAACATTTGGCTCTGTCTGGTGGTGGCATATTTCTTCACAATCTCATACGGTTTTATTGCAGATTAAAGAAAATAACTTATTTAAAATACCTAGTACATACTTGATGCCTAGGCAGGTCCCGGTAAGTATTAGTTTCCTGCTCCCAATATCTCCCTCTATACTGGAACTGTTTCCAGAAAAGCAGAGTGCCATCAAATAGTTTATTTTGTCTGAATGTTCTTATTGCCCTTTCCTGTACTCTTGGACCATCACATCTTGGTTTTTGTTCATTCATTATCCAAATACTCATTGTTTCCTTTCTTTGTGAGTTGGAACAGAGGAGGAGAGAAGCAAAGGCTGAGTGTTGAGCATGCTTTCCTTCAGGATTCTGCTGGGTATTGTCCAGTACGATATACTTCATCGTTGAGTACACACTTTTAAAGCTTATTTAGTTTTTTATCATGGTGACTATTCATTTTTCTACCTTGTAATTACATTAATATTTTAGAAAAATTGTAGATAATTTAAAATATTTAAAATCTGAAAAATTCTAAAAATGGAGTTTAGCTTCAGCATTTGTGTACATATTTGCTGGATTGGAGCCAAGAGAGTGTAAAGATGGAAACCCTTTTCAGGAATACAAAACAATCCTAGCTGTAATGTGTAAAGCACGATTGTAACTATGTAGTAGCATATTAATAAATAGGAGTACAAATGTCTGAAACATGTTATTTGTTATTTAGAGAAAGGCTGGGATTGGTATGTGTGTGAAGGTTTTCAGCAGATACTTTATCAACAAGCAGAAGCCTTAAAGACCCTTGGAGTAGGCCCAGAATTAAAGGTAAGTCCATTTGTGCCTAGGTATTAGCTTTACGTTTTGTTTGAAGAACAGTAAGATTTAGAGTGAAACTAAGGAGAAAAGTATGGTTATCAGTAATGACGCTAGGGCTACTGGAAAAATCTTTTCCTTTTTTTGTGTTTTGGCTTTAATTCTTTTTTTAGATCACTGATTCCCAAAGTGTGTTCTACAGGATATAAATAAGCAATACAACCAAAAGAAAATAAAAAACGTTTTACTCTTTAGAAATTTAGGAAACAATGGGTTAAGTAAAGTAAAACAAATAACCTTGCAGCCTTTTTGGTGTCTTTTGTGTGTTAATGTGCTTGTTTGATTGCTCAGGGTATAGTGTGCAGTATTCACATTTTGAGAACAAAATCCTGTAGTGTGTGTATATAATGTAGCATCTATTAAGACTTGAGTTCTAGAATGTACTTCGGGGAGTGATACATTAAACCACGGGTTCTCAACCTTGAATGTGTATCAGAATCACCTGGAAGGCTGGTTAAACCACAGATTACTGAACTTCATTCTAGAGTTTCTGATTCAATAGGTCTGGAGTAGGGCCCAAGAATTTGCATTTCTAACAAGTTCCCAGCTGACACTGATGCTGCTGGTCCAGGGTCCACACTTGGACTTTGCTGCCCCTCCAGAGTACCACAGTATCTCTGCTATTGTGTGAATTTCATGTTTTTTCATCCGGTTGAAACCATTTCAGGAATTCTTTAAAAAGCTAGTTATTTAGCAGCAAGTGGTCATCATACACTTGCTTCATGCCCATTATTGGAAACCAAGCTCTAAGAGATCCAGCCAAGTTGGAGAGAGGAGTTTTTTTAATGTATACCTGGAATGAGTAAACATGAAATGAAAGAACGATGTGCTCATAAGTAACATTAAGGGGAAAGAGAAGGCAGAAAGATCAATTGGCACTGAAGTGACCAAGGAAAGATTTGTAAAGGAGCCTTTGCTGTTAAAATCAGTGTTTGGGGGCAAGATCAATGCATGGCCTAAAAGGACTCTGGGCCTACCCTGAGAAGTATTATAGGAATTAAAAATACAAAACATGAGACCAGATGGCACCCATGGTGGTAGTCTGGGGATTTGTGAATCCCGGTTTGTTTCAAGTCATCCTATGTTATAAATGCTTTTTAATTTATTTCATATGGTTATACCAAATAACTACAGTAGATTTACTCCTGTATAGTTTTCTACATACTTCATCATTCATCAGGGTTAATCCTGAAAATGGTTTGTCTAAGATTAGCCAATGAATATAACTGTTTAGACCTGACCATTTCAATAGCACAGGAATGGCATTACGCTAAGAACACAGGCTCAGGAATCAAAACTGGCTTCAAATCTTATTCATGGATTTTCTACTTATTGGCTGGGTCATTTTGGCCAATTTACTCAGTTTTTTTGGTGGTAAAAAGGAGATAGTAGCTCTCTTGCAGTATTGTATTAGAGCTAATGGATGCCTCTTACCTAGTAGGTGATGAATAAATAGAAAAGTTGTTTTGTTATCTTATTTTACTTCCACTTGGACCTAGTAGCAGCTTTGCCTCTAACTAGACGTGTAGTTATGGATAAGTTGCTTTCTTTCTCTCATTTTCGATATACTAAATGTGCAAAAGGAAGGGAAGAATGAAGACTTTATTCACTAAGAATTTATTCACTATTTCACATATACCTGATTTTGTAATGATAATTCTTTTAAAAGTAGATAAGAAAGTAGTAGTAGTAATAATAAAAGTAGGTAAGAAAGCTAAGAATACATTTAGATAGAGGGCAATATATAAAATACAGGTGGTATAGATGTATCAGTGTATTTGTCATAACCTGAATCACCACTCATGTCCCTTCTACCTTAGAATGAAGTTTTACATAATTTTTGGAAGCGCTACCTTCAGAAGAGCAAGCAGGCGTATTGTAAAAACCCAGTTAATACCAGTAAAAGAAAAGCTATGGTAAGTCACAAGTCTGAGAAGCAGGATGAAAAGATATTCCTAGTGTGAGATAGAGATGAAGACAAGTTCATCTTCATCTGGATTTATGATGCTTGTCAGAATTATCAATGAAGAGGTTTCTCTCGTAGTCTGGAAGGACAGGGTTATTGATCTAGACATTGGAACTAATTTTGACTTCTAATTTGACTAGTTGAAACAGAAATTTGTAGTTAACTTCTAAGTAGAAACTTAAGGAATTTCTATTAATTGTAGTATTAAAATGTTTTGTTTTTGCATGTTTTTCCTCTTGCTTGGAATATCCACTACCTCATATTTCATGATTCAGCTTGTTCTCTCTACTCAGCAGTCTTTATGGGAAGAAAAATAAGTCTGGCTGGTTCATCATCCGCTCCCACATCCTCCAAAGCATTTATATTTTTAGTTTGCTTTTAACTGCTTTATGAGTGTATCATAGGAAGTTTTATTTGGGGGTAGGAGAGGATTCCACTGGTGAAAAAGGCAAGTTTGATAAACTAATATGATCTTGGGGTGCCTAGCCGACTCAGTTAGTTAAGCATCTGCCTTCGCCTCACATCATGATCCTGGGGGACTGGGATTGAGCCCCATGTCAGGCTCCCTGCCCAGTGGGGAATCTGCTTGTCCTTCTCCCTCTGCCCCTCCTCCCCCTCTTGCACTCACTCACACTCTCTTTCTCTCAAATAAGTAAATAAAATCTTTATAAAAAAATTCTGATCTTTAGAATTACATAGTTAAGGTATTGGTTGGTTATATTTGTATACTGGTGGTTTGCCTAGCACATAGAAAATTTGAATCAGAACCTGGAATTCTCTTTGACATTTTAACATTTTTAGGTTAAGATATTTAAAAAGATTTTGTTAACTCGAATAAACATCTGTCTAAGGTAATATTAGTATCACTAAAATCTTCTCTCTTTTTTTTTTTAAGATTTTACTATGCTAGAGAGACCACACAAGAGAGCGCAAACATGAGCAGATGTAGGGACCTGGGGAGGAGGGCAGAGGGAGAGGAGAAGCAGACTCCTCGCTGAGCTCTGAGCCTGAAGCAGAACTCGATCCCATGACCTGAGTCAAAGGCAGATGCTTAACTGAGCCACCCCCACACTAAAATCTTCTTGAGGAATAAATAAGCACTAAGCAAAATTTTAACCTGATAAACAAATTGTTAATATAATTTTTATTGAAGAGTACAGCTACTTTTAATATATTCTCTTTTGAAAGGATAAAGGAGCGTGTACTTTAAGTTAGAAGCTTAGTCTTCAGTATGGTACCGGCACTAAAATGGACACATAGATCAATGGAACAGAATAGAGAACCCAGAAATGGACTCTCAGTTCTATGGTCAACTAATCTTTGACAAAGCAGGAAAGAATATCCAATGGAAAAAAGACAGTCTCTTCAACAAATGGTATTGGGAAAATTGGACAGTCACATGCAGAAGAATGAAACTGGACCATTTTCTTACACCATACATAAAAGACTCAAGATGGATTAAAGGGCTAAATGTGAGACAGGACTCCATCAAAATCCTAGAGGAGAACACAGGCAGCAGCCTCTGTGATCTCAGCTGCAGCAACTTCTTGCTAGACACCTCTCTAAAGGCAAGGGAAACAAAGGCAAAAATGAATTATTCAGACTTTATCAATATAAAAAGCTTTTGCACAGCAAAGGAAACAGTCGACAAAACCAAAGGACAACTGACAAAATGGGAGAAGATATTTGCAAATGTCTTTTCAGATTAAGGGCTGGTATCCAAAATCTTGAGAACTTAAACTCAACACCCAGAGAACAAATAATCCAATCCAGAAATGGGCAGAAGATATGAACAAGATATTTCTTTAAAGAAGAGATACGAATGGCCAACAGGCACATGAAAAAATGCTCAACATCACTCATCATCAGGGAAATACAAATCAAAACCACAATGAGATACCACCTCACCCCAGTCAGAATGGCTAAAATTAATAAGCCAGGAAACAACAGTTGCTGGCAAGGATTCAGAGAAAGGGGAGCTCTCTTATATTGTTGGTGGGAATGCAAGCTAGTACAGCCACTCTGGAAAGCAGTTGGAGGTTCCTCAAAAAGTTGAAAATAGAGCTATCCTATGACCTAACAGTTGCACTACTAGGGATTTACCCCAAAGATACAAATGTAGCAATCTGAAGGAGCACCTTTACCCCAATGTTTATAGAAACAGTGTCCACAATAGCCAAACTATGGAAAGAGTCTATATGTCCATCAACAGATGAATGGATAAAGAAGTTGTGGGGGGTGTGTGTGTGTGTGTGTGTGTGATGGAATATTACTCAGCCAGCAAAAAGGAGAAGTCTTGCCATTTGCAATGACATGGATGGAACTAGAGGGTATTATGCTAAGTGGAATAAGCCAATCAGAGAAAGACAATTATTATATGATCTCACTCATATGTGGAATTTAAGAAACGAAACAGGATCATAGGGGAATGAAGGAAAAAATAAGATGAAATAAATCAGAAGGAGACAAACCATGAGACTCTTAACTCTAGGAAACAAACTGAGTGTTGCTGGAGGAGAGGAGGGGAAGGATGGGGTAACTGGGAATGGGCATTAAGGAGGGCACTTGATATAATGAGCACTGAGTGTTACATGCAGCTGATGAATCACTAATATCAGTGCTATTTGATGGGGAGTGATCAGGGAAAGTCTCCTCTCCCTGATGAGGAATCTTAGGTGAGAGTAAGCCATGAGGCTATCCAGGGGAAGAAATGCAGAATTTCAGGCCTCACCCAGACCTACTGAATCAGAGTCTGCATTTTAACACAGTTCCTAGGTGCTTATGCACACTAAAGTTTGAGAAGCCCTCTTCCAGATAAGACATGGTGGTGGCTGGGGCCATGTAGTAGCAATGGAAACGATGAGAGCTAAGGTTCTAGATAAACTTTGGATAGAGTCATCATTATTTCCTGATGGATTGGATGTAGGATGTGAGAGAAAAAGAGGAGTTATCAAGATGACTTAAATTTGGGACCTGACGCAACAGGTGGAACAGGAAGATGTATAGTTTGGTTTTGGACACATTTAGTTTGAGATAGCTGTTAAACACCTAAGAGGAAATTGTAAGTACTCAGATTTACAACTCTTCAATTCAGGAAAGAGGACTGTTGGAGATCCAGATTTGGATGTTGTCAATCTACATTATAATCCTCAAATCTAATGCCATTGTTCGGAAGATGTGCCCCAAGAAAGAAAATAATGCTGCAAATCAAACTGTGACATACCTTTGGTTGTAAGATACACCCTGATGTCAGGGATACTAAAATATGGGGAGAGTCAGTGTACCTTAATCTTTTTTTTTTAATTTTTATTTATTTATGATAGTCACAGAGAGAGAGAGAGAGAGAGAGGCGCAGAGACATAGGCAGAGGGAGAAGTAGGCTCTATGCACCGGGAGCCCGATGTGGGATTCGATCCTGGGTCTCCAGGATCACGCCCTGGGCCAAAGGCAGGCGCCAAACCGCTGCGCCACCCAGGGATCCCGAGTCAGTGTACTTTAAAGTCGAAAACAATGTAGTAGGTAGTATTTAAAACCACAAGACCAGGTGACATTAACAAGGAGTGAAGACAAAAGGGGACCAAGGGCTGAGTTCTGGGCCACTCTAGGGTAAAGATGTCTGGGATAAAAGCAGAACCAGCAAAGAAGTCTGAGGAGCAACTGGTAAATTAGGAGGAAGCCTAGAGAGTGAGGAGGGGGTGTTCTGGAATTCAAGGAACAAAGTATTTCAAGAAGAGGGGAGTGATCAACTGAGAAATACAGCTTCCGAGTCAGGAAGGGAAAGGGCTAAAAATGGATGAGTGGAGCAGTGGGGCTGCAAGTTTGATTAGAATGAGGTATAAGATAGGCTGGGAAGAGAGAAATTGGAGATGGCGAGTCTGGATAACTCTTCCTAGGCATTTTTCTGCGAAGAAATATACAGAAATTATTTTGTAGCTGGAGTCAAGGACATTTTTTTTAAGTGGGATAAATGATAGCATATTTGTGTACTTGATAGAAATGATATAGGAGAGAAGAAATTCTCAATAGAGAGAATAGAAATGAGGAATAATCTTTGAGTAGAAAGGATGGCATTAGGTGCAGAGGGATAAACTGGCTATTTTTTTATATATTTTAAAAGATTTTATTGATTTACTTATGAGAGGCAGAGACATAGGCAGGGAAGGCTGCCTGCAGGGAGCTTGATGCGGGACTCATGATCCTAAGACCCCGGAATCATATCTTGAGCCGAAGGCAGAAGCTCAACCACTGAGCCACCCAGGTGTTCCGAAACTGGCTTTTTAGATGGAAGCTTGGATAGTCAACCAGAAGAGTCAGAGAGTAGAGTATGTGGTCAAATTCCTGGCAGATGGTTGCTTACATAAGCTTGTAGACATTTTCTTCTGTGATTGCTTCAGTTTTCTCATTGAGTCCATGCTTATTTGCCAGTTTTATGGCATACCTTGTCTTACATGCTTACCTGTAGAGAGAGGTACCTGATTTTTTTTCCTTATTCTGTTGTGAGTTTCCTTAACATGAGTTTTACTTCCTGTTGATAAGATTGAGTCTCTTGGTCCATGTGGCTGATAACATGGCCTTTTTTTTTTTTTTTTTTTTTATAACATGGCTTTTTGACTGTGATCAATTTCCCCAAGGCAATGTCAGCTAATGAGGCCTTTGGGTAGCCAGCCAGCTGGCTGTCCCTTTCTTAGGGACACTCTGACCACCATTTCAACAGTATATGTGTGAAAAATTAAACAGTGGTATCAGATAGTATATCCTTGTCAATTAAGTGTTATAAATAGTAAAGTACCAGAGGAGTTCAGGGAATCGAGAACTCATTGAAGAAGAGTTGGTTAGAAAGACAGCATGATACAGTAAATAAGAAATTGGAGAGAAAGAGAAGAAAAGATAACCCAGGTAGGAGAAATGGAATTAGCAAAGATCAAAGTGAAAATTCCCAGGTAGGCTCAGTGAAGAGAAGCCAGCATTGTGCAGGAGTCATTATTGATGTTTTTATTGGTGTAGCTAGTAGGGCTATAGGAGAGATGTTAGAGGAGAAGGAATCCTGATGTGTCTGCTGGCAGCCTGTTTCCTTACTCACCTTTATCTGTAGCCTTTCTCCAGGAGCAGCCAGGGAGCACATTGCAGAGGTAAAAAGATCTTTTGGTTTTAGGAACTTGGTGAATGGTTGCAGTTTTCTAGAATAGTTTACTCTGTGGTGTTTCAGATGGGCAGGACTTGGTAAAGCTCATGGAAATTAACTGCATTTTAAATTCCTATGTAATAAGCGGGACACCTGGGTGGCTCAGTGATTGAGCGGCTGTCTAGGCTCAGGGCATGATCTCGGAGTTCTGGGATCGAGTCCCACATCGGGCTCTCTGCATGGAGCCTGCTTCTCCCTCTCTGCGTATGTCTCTGCCCCTCTCTCTATCTCTCATGAATAAATAAATAAAATCTTTAAAAAAATTCTTATGTAATAATTTTATGTATGTTATTTTGCAAATAGGTATTAGAAGATAACCCAAGTCATTCAGACTGGGATAGTGAGCCTGACTTACTGAGTGACTTTAGCTGCCCTTCTTTTGTTGAAAGTGGAACAGACTCTAAGCCTGATGGCCACACTCAGAAGCCTTTCCCCATCAGCAGAACATCACAATCAGGTAAAAATGAGAATCAGACTACCTAGAATTTTAAAGCTAGTAATATGTCCTAAAAATAATTTAATCTAATATTTTCATATTCCAAGGAAAGGAACCTGGCCTAGCAAGAAAGAATGATTTGCTAAATAATATGGCTAGGAGAAAGGTAAAATAAATGCAACCTTAGTGGAATTTTTAAAAAGGTACGTTGTTTCCACACGAGTATTTTTGTATGATTTTTAAGGAGACTTAAACAATATGTGGATCCAGAGAGAAAGAAGCTAGCTCAACAAAGATCACATATGTGTGGGCTCAGAATTTTCAAAGAAAAGTTGCAATAGAGAGATGATAGATCTTAGCCATATGGTCAGATAGGTAAGAATCAAAGATGATATGCCCAATTTCTAATAGGCTGCAGTAAAACTTACTATATCATAGGTATGTGTGTGAATTTTACTTTCTGATTTAATTCCATAATTCTAAATAAAAAAGAAGTATGCTTAAGGTAACAGAGACCTTCTTAAAGGATATATTCGTGATTTTTATTGTTTCCAGATTACTTTTTATTTATTTATTTTTGTAAGCAACATGGTAGAAAACAGACCTCAAAGAACAGACCAAGTTCTTATTATAGATTACTAGAATCTTGATGTGTGCTGACAGGGTTCTTTGGGAAATAGCTTCCAAACTGGTGTTAGGGATTGTGGGTAACTAGATTGTGCGGTTATATAAAATTTTCAACAAAACATTTCTTGTATGGACTACTGCTTTGCAAGCCTCTTGCCCTCCAGAGTAAAAATTCCTTTTGTCAGTATATCCGCATTACTTGCTGGACTGCACAGTGACACAGATATCAGATAAGTTACTTTCTGTGTCCAAAGAAGTAAAGAAGTTAGGATCATAGAGTAATTGAGCAGCAGTGAATCTCTGGTTTCTAGCTCCATGCTTTCAGACAAGCCTGAACTAAAACTGTCCCAGATGACTAGGACTCTCAAATCATTCAGGCCTTTTAGAGCACCATGGTTGTTTACCTATGTTAAGAGTTTTTGTTTGTGTGTTTTTTTAGTAAATGATGATCCTTACAGCTTTGTTTTAGTTTTTACGTTTAAAGTAACTGCAAATATAACCCTTATTTTAAAACTATAAAATACAAATATTCACAAAGAAAAAATCTTCAGTGTACCATCCGAAAATAACCACTTTGCTGTGGTAGATCATTCCAGAAAATTTTTTATTCATGTGTTTATAGGGAGAGAGGGAAAGAGTTTTATTGTTTATTTTTACAAAAAATGTGAACTATTTCTTCATTCTTTACATTTTCTTTTTTTTTTATAATTTTTTAAAATTTATTTATGATAGTCACAGAGAGAGAGAGAGAGCGAGAGAGAGAGGCAGAGACACAGGCAGAGGGAAAAGCAGGCTCCATGCACTGGGAGCCCGACGTGGGATTCGATCCCGGGTCTCCAGGATCGCGCCCTGGGCCAAAGGCAGGCCCCAAACCGCTGCGCCACCCAGGGTTCCCCCCTTTCTTTACATTTTCTAATCAGAATTTTACATGGGTATAATTCAAAAAGACTTACAAAGTCTGTTATGAAAATATTATTTTCATTGTTTCATGTTTAATATTATGTTTCATTGTTTCATTATTCCCCTATATGTGCTTTTCCTGAGAGGGATGCATTTTCTGCTCTTCTGCAATTTCCATAGCTTCTAATACTATATCTTGATTTCTGCTTTGGGAAATTAGCTATTAAATTACCATTATCTAAGATGAAGTCTTGGCTCTTTCACACATTCCTCACCGCCCCTGTCCCCATGTAGTCATCAGCAGACAGTTGTGCATTTTTCTTTCTTTATCTTCACAATATAATTATAATTTTTTACTAGTCCAGGATTTAGTGTGAGCCATATAGCTTATGATTACACTTTCTGTACATCTTTTTGTTTTCCCACATTTGGTAATTGCCTCATTACTTGTTTAGTTTTCTATTTGCTTGTTACTAATCTATAATTTATTACTAGTGTATTTCCACATGCCCTCCCATTTCTGAAAATCTCTCAATTTCTTAGATATTCTACCAATTTCATCTTCTGGAAGAAGTCTTTGTGGAACTTCTGACTTACTCTAATCTACAATGATATATCTCTAAACCTATGACCCAGCTATCTTTGGTATCTCTTCACCAACATCCTGAAGATTCTCTTACTCCTCTTTTGTTAAATTCCTTATTTCCTTGATTGTATTTCATCTTTCCTGGTTTGCTTTCTCATTTATATGGCGCATCTTTTCTTTTTTTACTGAGGATATTGATAAAGCTATTGATTATGTTCCCCCGACTTGATTCTTTTGGCCATTGCTTTTTGAATTAGAGGGTTTCTTCAAATGTTTAGGATCCTAATATGACTAGTCTTATTAAAAATGGATACTAAAAAATTGAGTGAAAGCCTTGTACCCATGCTGAGTTTTGTCAGTTGTGCTGTGCATGATCTAGCTGGATTATTTTCTTAACAGGCTTCCAGCATTATCATCTTTAAATCTTTTCCCCCTGAGCTGATAGGATTTTCAAGAGAAATCTCTTTGAGTCATCTGTTTGGAGTGTGTAATCCTAGCTGTTCTAGGAACTGGGTGGGTAGAAGGCCTCAGGGGAGTGTAGAGGGTGGGGGTTTTCTCTGTACTCAATATGTACACTTTCACTTAATCCTCCTGTTTTTAATAATATACCCTATGCTTAATTGTGTATATGACTGACATGCCCTATTCCAGAGACCCTTTGTTTTACTGTCTCCAGAGGAGAAACTTCCAATTAGGAAGGGGCAGGCAGGGGTCCCTGGGTGGCGCAGCGGTTTAGCGCCTGCCTTTGGCCCAGGGCGCGATCCTGGAGACTCGGGATCGAATCCCACGTTGGGCTCCCTGCATGGAGCCTGCTTCTCCCTCTATGCCTCTGCCTTTCTCTCTCTCTGTGTGTGACTATCATAAATAAATAAAATAAAATAAAATAAAATAAAATTAAATTAAATTAAATTAAATTAAAAAAGGAAGGGGCAGGCATTTGCTACATAGAGTTGGGGTAGGAGTCTGAGTGTCTGACTGCTTCTCAATCAGACTTTCGGGCAATCTTTCTGGTGTTAGGCCTATTTTCACCCAATTTCCAGGGTTTAACCAATTTGGGAGCTTTCTTCAGCAGTCCTCAGGGAAAAATTATGTTGTTTTATGGTTTTCCCTTCTTCTGGCTTTGAACCAGCTTTCTTGACACTGCTAAGGCAGTAATCACCTCCACGTAAGCTTTCTAGCTTTTAAATTTTTATTACTATTGTCTCCTTTTCTGTGTTGTTTGTTCTTGAGTTTATATATAATTGTAGGGAGACAGAGCAGAGGCTACTATGTGTTTTCAATCTGCCTTCTTAACTGGAAGCCTCTACAAGTTGTTGTATATGTATCTATGTATATACTTTAACATAATATTTTATTGAAATTTGTATTCTTATAATTCTTTTAAAACTGTCCTCCTCAAACTTTAAATTCACTTGGAATCAACTGGAATCCTTCTTAGACCACAGATAGATAGGCTCAATAATTTGCATCTCTGATAAGTTCTCAGGTCATGCTAATACACCTGGTCTAGGGACTATACTCTGAGAACACCGACTTAAACATTGAGTGAATTGATATTAGTATTCCATTGCATAGAGTTATTTAATTAAATTTCTATTCACTTTGGTTGTTTTAAATTTGTTTCATATTATAAACAGTACTGCTACAACATGCCTTGACTTTGAATCTTTGCATGTTTTAAAAACCATTTCACTAGGGTGAAAATCTTGAACTGCTAGCCTGTTTGTCATCAAATATTTATTGGGTTCCTCCTTCGTGCTAGCCTGCTCTAGGCACTGGAGACATAGTGGTGGGCAAGGTTGTCTGCCTTCAAGGGGCTTAGATTGTAGTGGGAGGTGCTAGACAGTAAATGCACGTATTTATTCAAAAGTTCAATTATTGGGATCCCTGGGTGGCTCAGCGGTTGAGCGTCTGCCTTTGGCTCAGGGGATGATCCTGGGGTCTCAGAGTCGAGTCCCACATTGGGCTTCCTGCATGGATCCTGCTTCTCCTTCTGCCTAGGTCTCTGCCTCTCTCTGTGTCTCGAATGAATGAATGAATGAATGAATGAATGAATGAATACATCTTTAAAAAAAGGTTCAGTTAATGATAAATGCTATGAAGAAAGGATTTGTAGGATTTGGAAAAAGGGATTTTGAGAAATAATTTGGAGAGTTGTCCAAGAAAGCATGGGGTCTCTTACTTGGGGTCATTCTTAGTCCTGCTTGCTACTTACCCTACTTCTGGCTTTAAATACCAGCTGTATCCTGACAACTCAGAAATTTCTATCTCTAGGTTCTCTTCTGAACTACAGATTTTTTTTTGAACTACAGATTTTTATATTCAGCTGCCTACTTACCATTTTGATTTGTATAGTTAATAGGACATTACACTTAACACGTGCAGTTCTGAATCTTGATTTCTTCCATCAACTCTGCTCTTTTACTATCTTCCTTGTCTCGTAAATAGCATTTCCATTCTTCCTGTTGCTCAGGCCTAAACTCTCAGAATCACATTTTCTACTCCTCTTTTTCTCTCCTATTTCACATTCAACCCACCAGCAAATTCTTCTGACCCTGCCTTCAAAATATGTCCAGATTCCAACCACTTCTCACCACCTGCAGTGCTACCACTCCAGTCCAAGTGCTTGTCATCGCTGTCCTGGATGGTGGTGGTCTATATCCACTCTTGCCCTCCTATGGCTCCATTCTCCTAAAGCAGCTAGAGAGAGCTTTTTAAAAACACAAATGAGATCAGGTTGTTCCCCTTTTTTAAAACTCTCCAGAAACTCCTTATAATATCCAGAATAAAATCCAAAGTACAAAAGATGACCTCCTACAAAGCCCTGTGTAATATAGTTCTTTCTTTCTTGCTTTCTCTTTCTTTCATTTAGAGAAGGAGAGGGAGAGAGAGAATCTTAAACAGGTTCCACACCCAGCACAGAGCCTTATGCAGGGCTCAGTCTCACAACCCTGAGATCATGACCTGAACTGAAATCAAGAGTCAGAATCTTAACCGACTGAGCCACCCAGGTGCCCTCTTACTCTCTTATATCATTTCCTGCTACTTTCCTTTCACCCAGGATGCTTTCACCACCTTGGCTTTCTTGCTGTCCCCCCCCCCCTTTTTTTTAAGAGATTTTATTTAGAGAAAATGCAAGTGGGGGAGGGGAAGGAGGAGAGAGAATCATAAGCAGACTTTGTGCTGAGCTTGGAGTCCTATGTAGGCTGGACCCCACAATCCTGAGACCATGACCAGCGCCAAAACCAAGAGTCAGTCGCTCAACCAACTGAGCCACCCACATGTCCCCTTGCTGTTTCTTTAAGTTCATTCTTACTAATGAACTTGGTGTTCTTCCTGAGATTCTCAAGACTTATTCTGAATTCATTTAGGTCTTTGCTCAGATTCCATCTTCTCCAAGGGCTTCACTAACCACCCATATAAAGTATCACCTATATCCTCTTCCCATCACTTCGTATGCCCCTATATTACTATTCCGTGTAGCACTTACCACTGTCTTTCAGTTGTAATTTTTTCCTGTTGAGTGACCATCTCTCATTACTAGAATGGAAGTTCCAGGGATCCCTGGGTGGCGCAGCAGTTTAGCGCCTGCCTTTGGCCCAGGGCGCAATCCTGGAGACCCAGGATCGAATCCCACGTCGGGCTCCCGGTGCATGGAGCTTGCTTCTCCCTCTGTCTGTGTCTCTGCCCCCCTCCCTCTCTGTGACTATCATAAATAAAAAAAAATAAATAAATAGAATGGAAGTTCCAAGGGACACGAGATGCTGTTCCCTGTCATTTCCCCAGACCTAGAACGGTGGTACAAAGAATGAGATGAGTGTTGAATGAATGAGGGAGGAAAAATAATGGTCCTATGGTTAAGGTGCCTGGAGGATGAGAGTGAGATGAGGTGCTGCCCTAGCTAGTGTTTTGGAGAGTATTTCAGAGCTTTAGAGGGACATGTGGCTTGGGGCCTGGATCAAGAGCAGTTACATACTTTTTGTTTTGCTTTAATTGTTTATTCTTTTATTTGAAGAATTGTTCCTATTCATTGTAAAAAAATTCAAGCAGGTACGTCCCTCTTTAGAATCTCAGCTCATACCACCACTTATCCCACTCCCATAAAGAACCAGCAATTACCTTTTTGGTCAGTTTCCTCTAAGCTGTCATTGTTCTTTATTGCCAAATTGTTCTTTGTAAAGATTGTATCAATTATAACTTGATTTTAAGATATTGAAAATGCCTCTTTGGATTTTTTTCTTGTTGTTGTTGTTATTTTGTTGTTCAAACAGTTACTTTACTTTTTAAGTTAAAAAAACTAACAAACAACTCCATTTATTCCCTAAGAAACAGCATCCATCTGTTCTGGATCTCTTGATGGAGTTACATATTCGCTACAAAAGGAGAAAGGAATCGTGAAGATGACGGTGCCAAGGACACTTGCTCTTTGCTATCTGTCATTACTGTGGCAAAGAGAGACAATTACTCTTTCAGATCTTTTGCGGTAAGCTTGACCTCTCGTATGATGATGTCTTTGCTGATTATCTGTGTGAACCAGGGGACAACCTTTGGATATCTTGAATTTTACAAGGAGGCTTAAATTGAGGAAGAGACAGGAAAGATTGGGTAGCTGAGTTCTAGATCTAAAATATAATCCTCCTCTGGCTGGTAATTCATCTCCTTGGTTTCTTTATTTATATAGTGAAATAATGGTATTTACCTTACACAAGTAGTTGGAAAATTAATTATGCAATATGAGTAAAATGATCTATGAAAAGTGACACTTAAGTACCTAAATGGTAGTATTAATTATTTTGCATTTCTAAGAAAGAGATGAATAGATGACCTTCATATTAGCAAATGGTTGTTAGTAGCTCCATAGCAGCTTATGTTGGTATTAGTAAGAGCTAGAATATAGGTTGTCGGTGTTTGTAAGGTAAACTAAAAACAAAACTATTAGAAAAACCCGTTAGTGAATGGTCAATATTTACATTTTTTTCAGGATAATTTATAGTGTTTTATAGTTAATGAGTAAATAGGGCATTGTGTATAAGACTTTCCCATTAAATAGAAGATGTGCCAAAATCATAGTATGTTCATGTTTCCCTTGTTTTATATGTATTCTAAATATTAACATTTGGGTTTAATCGATGTCTAGAGGGATTTTAAGGGCACAGATTTAGAACCAGACTCCTGGGTTTGAATCCTGACTATGCCATTTATATGTGACCTTGAGTAAATTATTTAATTTCTCTTTGCCTCTGTTTCATCCTTGGTGAAATGGAGCTGATAATAACATCTACTTCACAGAGTTGTAACTATTTCCAGTAATTATTGCATGAAAAGCACTCAGGACAGTGCCTAGCACATAATAAGAACTCAATGCTAGTTATTGTTTTGTTTTCATCATCATCATCATCAGTACTAGGCCTTTTGATTAAATAAAATGCCTCCAGTAAATGATGATATTGCCTTTGAATTTGGCCACATCAACCAAATAACAAGGCTTTTCTCAGAGGTGATTGCCCTGCATACAGATAGTACATGATTCAGTGAATTTTACTGTTAAGTTAAAAACCTCACCTTGTTCTATATGCCTTCATTGGGTGATCTCATCTTCTCCCAAGGAGGCTTTAATTACCATCTATATGATGATGACGACGCCCAAATTTATATCTGCAGCCTGGACTTGTCTAGTGAGGGTCAGACCCATATATTCATACATACAACTGCCTGTTGGACACTACTTAGGTGTCTTTATGGTATCACAAAATCAGTATGACAAAAAGAGGTTCATCTTTCATCATTTTTCTCCTCAACCCAACTCCTTCTCCAGTGTTTTCTTTCCTCGTAAATATCGCACACTCCGTTTCTTCCTATCCAGAAACCTAAGATTCATCCCTGACTCTTGCCTCTCTCCACATCTACAGTCAGTCATATCCTGTCAGTTATACTTCCAAAACAACCCTCGAAACAATTTTTCTCCCCATCCCCTCCATATCTTCTCCTGCATTACTTAGCAACCTCCCAAGCGGGCCCTGTGCTTGCAGTCTTGTGCCATTCCTGTCCGTTTTCCTTTCCATAGCCCAGGGGTCTTAGAGAAACTAATCAAATCATGTCGCTAGAGCTGGGTAAAGGGGCTGTCCAACTACCCAGGGCAATCTATAAGGGAGTAACAAGATTCCTAGAGACCTGACAAGATGGAGAAAATAATATTCACCCATAATTATTCTTAAAGAGAATATTAGATGTGGTTGGAAAGATGGGAGTAAGATCCTACACATTTGTCTCCCTCTCTGTTGCCCTTCCTCCCTCTTTCCTGCTGTCCCTTAAAGGAGAATTCTGAAGAGCCTTTATGGAGATTGGATCTGGTTAGCTGGAGGGCTTTTATTTTGCTCTGTTGGACATACAAATTTGGGAACCGAGCCTTAGTATTGGAGCAACAGGAAAGGGGACTGTTAACCACTGATCCTCTTTCTCTGTTTTTCTCAGAGAAGGAGCTCCAAGGCACAGGTTCTGATTGTGGTTCCCTGACTGGCAGCATCAGCATCACCTGTCAACTTATGAGGGATGCAAATTCTAACCAAATTTAACCCATTCTGATCTTCTGAATCAGAAAGTCTGGGGGTAGGGCCTGGCAACCTCTGTTTTAATAAGCCAGCCAGCCAATTCTTTTTTTTTTTTTTTTTTTTTTTCAGCTAGCGGATTCTTATGGATGCTGAAGTTTGAGAGCCACTGCCAAACTTGGAAAAAAGTATTTAAAAAACATTGATGTGAAGGAAATACATTATTATCCTGGCCCCAGTACTTATATATCTTATACATCCAGCGTGTCTCTCTCCAGTTTAAATTCCTTTGCTGCATCCATAGTCCTTAGGATTAATTCATAACTCTTAAACTTTAATCAACCCTGCCTGGGGCGCCTAGGTGGCTCAGTCAGTTGAGCATCTGATTCTTGATTTCAGCTCAGAGTTGTGGGATCAAGCCCCAAGTTTGGTTCCACATTCAGTGGGGAGTCTGCTTGGGATTCTCTCTCTCCCCCTCTCTGCCCCTCACCCTGCCCGTTCATTCTCTTTCTCTCTCTTTCAAATAAATAAGTCTTTAAAAAAAAAAAAAAGAACCATACTTACCTAGTGGTAAAAACAATAATAAATAAAAATAGTCAATATGTATTCATTCCACAAATATTTATTGAACCACCTACTAGGTACAGGTATTCTAGAGTCTAGATCCTTGAATCACAGTTGCAAACCATATAGAACAAATTCTTACTCTCATGAAGTTCAAGACTAGAGGAAACAGACGAGCATTTAAATGAATAAAAAAATGATCAAACAGTGAAGTGTTAATGTAGAAGATTGAAATCAGATGATGGCTACTTTAGACTGGTCATTAGGGAAGGCCTCACTGAGAAGTACTTTGAATGGGAGTTGAGCCAGCAGGTGAGTATCAGCAGTACTAGCACTCCAAGTGGTGGAGGAGGTCCTTTCCCTTAAATATCTCTGAGGGCAAGCATCTACTGTGCACTATGATAGGTACTGAGGACAGGCAGGTAGACAAGGGAGGTTTTCCAACAAGGAAAATGGATCAAGGAGGGTCTCCCCAAGGAAGTGATTTAGAAGAGTAGATGCCAGTCATGTGAGGGGAGCCAGAGATAGAAGGATGCTGTGTTGCAAGCTTGGTGGTGAATTCACAAAAAAGAATACGTACTTTGTAGAGATATTTCATCTAGTTAGTTAGAAACTTAAGATACCATTAGATAATTGGCTAAATGTTTTCTCCACACATGGGTACAGAGAATAATAGATCTTTTCAGATTTATCATCCTTAAAAACATGGCAGATGGAACATTTTTAACTGGTTCTCACCTGATCTTTGAAACACATCTTCAGCTCTTATCCCACTTTGCTAAGTCAGTGCATATCTCTTATTAACGCTTTTTTTTTTTTAATGCAGATTTGTTGAAGAGGGCCATATTCCTTACATACATGCTTTCCAGCGTTTTCCAGAAGAGATGAAATTATATGGGCGTGACAAAGGAATCTTTGCCATAGAGGCAAGTTATTATGTTTTTTTACTTTGTACTCACTAATAAGACACAAAAATAATATAGTATAATTTCTATTTCCTGACTTATTATTTGGTGTTGGAAGTTTTAGAAAATGGCACCTAGTTTTTGTTCTGTGTATATGTAGAACATTAATCATTATTTAATGAGGAGTGGAATTATTATTTTTTATTTTCCTCATGTGGTCTCTTCTAATCCTTTCGGTTGTCCTGAACATGTAGCTATGGTGTGAGGTGCGAGCACTGTCAATAGGTGTTTGGTTGAGATTAAACTTTAGAAGTTTTCTTTCTTTTTCTTTTTCTTTTTTTAAGATTTATTTATTTATTTATTCATGAGAGACACAAGAGAGAGAGAGAGACAGGCAGAGGGAGAAGCAGGTCCCACACAGGAAGCCCTATGTGGGACTTGATCCCTGGACTCCAGGATCAAGCCCTGGGCCAAAGGCAGGCACTAAACAGCTGAGCCACCCAGGGATCCCTAGAAGTTTTCTATAGAGACATTTAGGTAATTTGAAAAAAAAATTATTTTTAAATTTATTTATGATAGTCACACAGAGAGAGAGAGGCAGAGACATAGGCAGAGGGAGAAGCAGGCTCCATGCACCGGGAGCCCGACATGGGACTCGATCCCCGGTCTCCAGGATCGCGCCTTGGGCCAAAGGCAGGCGCTAAACTCCTGCGCCACCCAGGGAATCCCTCAAAAAAAATTTTTTTAAAGATTTTATTTATTCATGAGAGACACACAGAGAGAGACAGGGACATAGGTAGAGGGAGAAGCAGGCTCCGTGCAAGGAGCCCGACGTGGGACTCGATCCTGGGTCTCCAGGATCATGCCCTGGACTGAAGGCGGCGCTAAACCGCTGAGCCACCGGGGCTGCCCCGTAATTTCAAATTTTTTAAAAAAGCTTTTTGTTAAAAAAAAAAAAAAAAAAAAAGCTTTTTGTTATTTGCATACTATGTTGCTTTTGAGCAAAGAGAAGAAAGTTATTCTTTTGTTTCAAGAGGCACTATTTTAATAGGTTTTTTACTTGTTGGTCTTTTTCTAGATCTGTTTTCAGAGGTCTCCAGTGGAAGGACTTCTGTCCTTTAGTTATGAGTCTTTATCACTATTTATAGTGCTCAAAGATTATCTTCTCTTTGTTCTTCATCAGAAGGTTTTCAGTATCTTAAATATTAACATTAAATATTACTGTTTGCCCACTTAAGGAATTATTTTTTATAGGCTCTCCTAACCTTCACAGCCTTATGTTGTTTGTAGTTTAATTCAAGAGACATTTGTGATCTTTACTAAACCTCTGAATAAGTGTGGTTCACTGTCATCCCAGTTTTACACATGAGCAAACACTTCAGGAAGACAGAATGAATGCCAAGGCCATATGGTTGGTGGTCCCAGACTTGGGACTGTAGTACTTGCAGCTTTTTGCTCCTGTATCATCTTTGGCTGTTTGCCTGCCATTCTCCCCTTCTTTATACACTGGTTCTTCTAAACCCTTAAGTAGGTGCTATGAAAATATAATTATATAAAATACTAATTTTGAAGCATCGAGCCAGAAGTTATGGATGATTGGAAATGCAGATAAACAAGCTTGCAACATTCTGTAACATTTTACATCTGCATTGAATTTAAAGTATTGATCACTACGAATGATTTGTAGGGAACATTAGATTTTTAAACTAGAAATGGCTCCACTGTCAGAACAACTCGTGCAGGAGCAGTTCTATGGATTTAGAGAGAGAAAGCAAGTTTGGAGGTGGGTTCCCAGGGCTGCTTCCATGTAGTCCTCATTTATTTTACAGCCAGGATTGATGATGGGATGAGCTCCATGTGCGCTTGCACTTGCAGTGGCCCACATCCATGGGCAGCACAGGGAAGGTGGATATGGCTGCATCTACCTCTTAACCTGGTAAAAACAAAGAAGAAATAATAATAGTGGTAGTGCTTTTTCAGGTAGGCCCTGTTTTACATATTTTATAAACTCCTATTATTAATATCAACCCTGTGAAATACATATTATTATTATGCTTATTCTACAGATGAGGAAACTGAGACACAGAGAAATTAGGTAACTTGCCTGGTACTCTCACAATGAACATAATCCAGCATCGCCAAGGCAGCCTTGGTTTGGAGGGAGACAAAAAAAGTGGGACTGTACCAAGCAATGAGGGGTGGGACAGGGAGAACAGGGGCAGGAAGTGGAAGTAGGTTATTGAGATAGTAAAGAAGCTCTGGACTTGGAGGCGCCTGAGTGGCTCAGTTGGTTAAGTGTCCAACTCTTGATCTCAGCTCAGGTCTTGATCTCAGGTCTTGAGTTCAGGGCCCTCACTAGGCTCTAGACTGGTTACCAAAACCAAGAGGTGGCCCTGTGGTAGAGATGGCAACCAGAACCAAAAGACAGGGTATAGAGGATCCAACTGAAAGATAGTCCAGGCTAGAAGTGACAATGTGCAAACCGTGTGTTCTGTCATGAAGCACAGGCTAGGGAGCCAGAGTAGCCTTCCTGAAAGATGGAAGATTAGTCTATTTTTTCTTAGCTTGGACAGGGTTCTGATAATTTATCTTTTATTTTAGTTTTTAAAATTTGAACATACTTGACATACAACATTACATTAGTTTCAGGTGTAACAGAGTGATTCAGCGTCTATACATTTTCGCTATGCTCAGCACAAGCATAGCTGCTATTTGTCACCATACAACACTGCTGCAGTATCACTACTATAGTCCCTATGCTATACATCTTATCCTGGTGACTTATTCATTCTGTAATTGTGGAGGGTTGCAATAATTTATTTAAAGGACTGGGGACACAGAGGACACATCCTGTTCTTCTAGTCTGCATCCAGACCCCAAGTAATTTGTCAGAGATGTGGTGGGATAGCTGAACTTGAAAGTCAGGGAGGTATTTACAAAGTACAAAGTGCCCGTGCCACCTCTGTTTGCCTCTAGGAAAAGAAAAACACAAGTTTTTAGTTTCAGAACCAGCCTGCACACAAGATTGATTGGTTTTTCATCTTCTTAAATGGCATCCCATGCTCAGTGAGACATGTCTGGATTTCCTGGGCATGCCTTGGACTATAACTGAATCTACCCTAAAACTGCCACATAGAAGGTTTTTTTTTTAGAATGATTGATTTGAGAACCTGTATAATTCACTAATTAGTAATTTCAAATTTAGCTGCTAAAAAATTGGTCATAGCTAGTCATCTGAGCCTTGTTTAAATGTTCTGCTAAAAGGAAAAGATATGCGGATCCCTGTGTGGCTCAGTGGTTTAGCGCTGCCTTCGGCCCAGGGCATGATCCTGGAGACCCGGGATCGAGTCCCACATCAGGCTCCCTGCATGGAGCCTGCTTCTCCCTCTGCCTGTGTCTCTGCCTCTCTCTCTCTGTGTGTCTTTCATGAATAAATAAATAAAATATTTTTAAAAATAAAAATAAAAGGAAAAGACATTTAGTTCAATAATTCTTGGTGTCTTTACATTTGTTATCATTTTTTGTATTAATCTCCCCAGTGTAGTCTTGGCTAACAAAAAATTATCTTTCCCTCCCTTATTCTCCACCTACCCTTCTCTCCCTTGCCTCTCCCTTTCCCTCTCCTCTCCCTTAGCCTCCAGTACATTCTGTATCTTATGTTGTAACTGAGCTTTAGCCTGATTTCTTGGAACCATTCACCACTCAAGTTATATTGATAATTTTTGCTTGGTTGAGGTTATTTGAACTTTTTCCTGGTGCCTGAAATTACTTACTTGTATTTAACTCCCTAACCAAATTGTAAGCTTCTCAGGAATAAACACCAGAATCTTTTATATGGGATCATAAAATTTTTTTTTAATTTATTTATGATAGTCATACAGAGAGAGTGAGAGGCAGAGACATAGACAGAGGGAGAAGCAGGCTCCATGCACCGGGAGCCTGACGTGGGATTCGATCCGGGGTCTCCAGGATCGCGCCCTGGGCCAAAGGCAGGCGCCAAACCGCTGCGCCACCCAGGGATCCGGGATCATAAAATATTAAAGCTGAAGGGAAATTTAGACATTACTTGGTCCATTTTCTTTGTTTTTTAGTAAGGGAACAGGCCTAAGAAAAAATGTGATTTGGGAATAGGTAAACCTCTACTTCATTAGGGTTTTCATGAGGATTATTTGAGATAATATCTTCAAAATGCAAGTATATGATAGACATTGAAATGGACATTCCTTCTGGGTCCCAGGATAGAAAAGCTTTTTCTCTGTGGAGAAGATTAAGAGTTATCTTCAAGCTACTTGGAAGAAAAAAATGTATTGTTTTTGGAAATTAAGATTTGCATTTTAAAGATCTGTTATAGGGATCCTTGGGTGGCTCAGCGGTTTAGAGCCTGCATTTGGCCCAGGGCATGATCCTGGAGTCCTGGGATCAAGTCTCACATCAGGCTCCCTGCATGGAGCCTGCTTCTCCCTCTGCCTGTGTCTCTGACTCTCTCTCTCTCTTTCATGAATAAATAAATAAAATCTTTAAAAAATAAAAAAATAGAGCTCTGTTATAAACAAACAAAAAAACATCTTTGAATATGCCTATTTCTAAGTTTGCTACAAGGAGGTGCCAGGAAGTTTATGGATGACTCTTGCTTTTCATTACAGTGTTTTATAATTTTGGTTACATAAATTCAGCTTCTTGCAAAGGATATTGCTTCCTGGGCTGAGTTTATATGTTTGAGAGTGGTAGGTAACCAGTAATTTTCTTTTGAATTAAGAAATTTGGTTTCATTTTATACTCACATAGACACTCAAATTTCACCCTATAAAAATAATTATTTCAAAAAACATATACCTTGTCCTTTCAGACAATACCTTGTCCACTATTGCCAAATGTTGAAATGACTGCAGGAGTGACATAATGCACAGAACCATGGGACTGCTACTCTTGTAGCCAGTGTGGCTTATATTTCCCAGAAGCCTCGCTTAAGTCTTAAGCTAAGATTGGCTTTGCCTTCCTATGGGCAGTATGGGAAGGAGTGC